ACTGGACCTTCATTCCAACATTGTTGTATTATTTATTGTTTGAATTTATAAAGAGGAGGGGGAGATAAGATGCAAGGGAGTTGAGCGAAGAAGAAGAGCTTTGACATTGGTTCTTGCTGGTGTACATTGTCTTTTCCAATCTTTTCTACTTCTTCTTCTTCTTCTTATCCTCTCCATCCTCTCAAGTTCATTCATTTCCTTTTGCAGTTGGTGAACATTGTGCTGATTGGTGAATTTGTACTTCGCAATTGGTCCGGGTCATAACAACACTCAGGAATTCACCACACACTACGACAAATTTCGTCCCGTCGGAAAAAAAAAAAAAAGGCATTCGCCACACAGGCAGTTGTCGCTCACTGTGCTCCCATCCAGCGCGACTGCTTTTCCAGGTCTGGCTTTGAAAAAGTTAATTGCAGTAAGATATTTGCACTAAGATATTTGAAAAAGTTAATCGCACAAAGAGGAAACGACAAAGATCGAAGTCCAAACTGATGTTTGAGGGCAGAGTTGAATGGTTTGGAAAAGTTGATTGCAGTAAAGATATTTGCAAGGGAGCATAATGTGCAAGGTAAGGACAGAAAAATGTGGACCCGTGAATTGCAACAGGGGAAGAACATCTGGAAAAGAAAAAGGCGCAGAAAGCGAGGGTAGGAATGTGGAAACAGGACTATGTTTTTTTTTTTTTTTTTTTTTTTTTTTAAACTAGTTTTAAGTTTTAACTTTTAACTCTTAAACATCACCAGGCTGTGCTGCTGGGGGGGGATACGAGCATGCTCCTGCAGCACCAGCTTGCCGATGGCTCCTGTCTATTGGTGGGGAGCGGCACCTGCTGGAAACCAGGTCCAGGGGAGCAGCACCTGCTGGAAACCAGGTCCAGCTTCCCATATACACTGTGCAACCAGTCACACCGGCCCATTAGCCAGCTTCGACTCAGGATGAACTCGGAAACGACCGAGTGACTTCTCACCTCGCTCATGATCAATTTGCATTTGGAAATGACCGAGTGACAGCGCATTGCAATGATCAGGACCACACTTTTTTGCAAAGAAATGGAAGATGGATGAGGGCGGCATTGCTCGCATAAAAACAGGAGTAGGCAAAGAAGACTAAAGATTAATGATTAGGCGAGGGGGGAGGGGGGGGGAGGAGGGAGGATTTCTTAGGATGCATCGTTTCAGGAAGGAGCAATTATAGCATTTACACATGACCAAAAGATTTTCATGGAATCGGTTAGTAGCCTAGTAACTGCTGAGAATACGGGTCGAACTTTGAAGGGTACTAACAAAGAACTGAAAAGTTGCAAAAGCGCACCAATTTACCGTTTTAAGTAGGAAAGACGTGAACAGGGCATCATTTCATCCAGTTTGAGCATGGAGATGTACAGGACGGGATGAAAACCAAAAAAAGCAATGGAAGAGTATAGGAGGTGGGCCCGACAATGTTAGGTAGAAATGCTCTCCCTTTCTCCCTGTTTCTCGCCCTCTCTCTCTTGCTCTTTTACACTCTCTGGGCCCGACAATGTTAGGTAGAAATACTCTCCCTTTCTCCCTGTTTCTCGCCCTCTCTCTCTTGCTCTTTTTCACGCTCGCTCCCTCCACTCATCCCTCCCCCTTTCTCTCTCTCTCTCTCTCTCTCTCTCTCTCTCTCTCTCTCTCTCTCTCTCTCTCTCTCTCTCTCTCTCTCTCTGCCACCTCTCTCCTAATCGCTCTCTCTATCGGACTGATCCCCTCGAGTATGGGAGAATCTCTTAAAGCCCT